CCCTCCCACAACGGGGAGATTTCCCTCCAGTAGTTTGTCTGCCCCTCCCACAACGGGGAGATTTCCCTGCAGTAGTTTGTGTCTCTGCCACTCCCACAATGGGGAGATTTCTTGGCAGTACTCTGTCTCTGCCCCTCCCACAACGGGGAGATTTTCCTCCAGTAGTTTGTGTCTCTGCCCCTCCCACAACGGGGAGATTTTCCTCCAGTAGTTTTTGTCTGCCCCTCCCACAACGGGGAGATTTTCCTCCAGTAGTTTGTGTCTCTGCCCCTCCCACAACGGGGAGATTTCCCTCAGTAGTTTGTGTCTCTGCCCCTCCCACAACGGGGAGATTTCCCTCAGTAGTTTGTGTCTCTGCCCCTCCCACAATGGGGAGGAAACTATTACACAGTCAGGCCATGCATCGAATCCGCCATCACAAAAATCTCCCCCCACTCTGAAAATAATTTTTTTATTGCACAACTGACCATTAGTGTATAAAAAAATATAACACGGAATTAAAAATCTATGAAACATAAGAATACAAGGTGTGCAGTGCAAAAATCTGTCACAAACAAGTGCAAAACTTTATCAGGAAATAAATACTGAACGGAAATAACAGGGGCGGTATAAAACAGTCCCGAGGAACACTGCCCCCTACTGGCTGCCATTGGGAGGGTAACTAGCAGATAGATGGAGAAGGCCAGACACCGCCTCCAGCTCAGACAGCGTGTATGGACCATTCCTGGAAATCACACTGCCAGTGCACGCTGACTCAGGGGGGCTCCTCCCACTCTCCACAGTGTGCACCAACTCTGGGAGGCTCCTCCCACTCTCCACAGTGTGCACCATCTCCGGGAGGCCCCTCCCACTCTCCACAGTGTGCACCATCTCCGGGAGGCCCCTCCCACTCTCCACAGTGTGCACCATATCCGGGAAGCCCCTCCCACTCTCCACAGTAAGCGCAGACTCCAGGAGGCTCCTCCCACTCTCCACAGTGTGCACCATCTCTGGGAGGCCCCTCCCACTCTCCACAGTGAGTGCAGACTCCAGGAGGCTTCTCCCACTCTCCACAGTGTGCACCATCTCCGTGAGACCCCTCCCACTCTCCACAGTGAGTGCAGACTCCAGGAGGCTCCTCCCACTCTCCACAGTGCGTGCCAACTCCGGGAGGCTCCTCCCACTCTCCACAGTGCGTGCCAACTCCGGGAGGCTCCTCCTGCTCTCCACAGTGCGCACCATCTCCAGGAAGCCCCTCCCACTCTCCACAGTGAGCGCAGACTCTACAAAGCTCCTCCCACTCTCCACAGTGCGTGCCAACTCAGGGAGGCTCCTCCTACTCTCCACAGTGCGCACCATCTCCGGGAGGCCCCTCCCACTCTCCACAGTGAGCGCAGACTCTACGAGGCTCCTCCCACTCTCCACAGTGCACGCAGACTCTACAAAGCTCCTCCCACTCTCCACAGTGCGTGCCAACTCAGGGAGGCTCCTCCTACTCTCCACAGTGCGCACCATCTCCGGGAGGCCCCTCCCACTCTCCACAGTGAGCACAGACTCCAAGAGGCTCCTCCCACTCTCCACAGTGCATGCCAACTCCGGGAGGCTCCTCCTACTCTCCACAGTGCGTGCCATCCACGGGAGGCTTCCCCCACTCTCCACAGTGCGTGCCATCTCCGGGAGGCTCCTCCCACTCTCCATAGTGAGCGCAGACTCCGGGAGGCTCCTCCTACTCTCCACAGTACGCGCCATCTCCGGGAGACTCCTCCTACTCTCCACGGTGCACACCATCTTTGGGAGGCTCCCCCCACTCTCCACAGTGAGCGCAGACTCCAGGAGGCTCCTCTCACTCTCCACAGTGCGTGCAGACTCCAGAAGGCTCCTCCTACTCTCCACAGTGCGTACCATCTTTGGGAGGCTCCTCCTACTCTCCACAGTGAGCGCACACTCCAGTAGGCTCCTCCCACTCTCCACAGTGAGTGCAGACTCCAGGAGGCTCCTCCCACTCTCCACAGTGCGCACCATCTCCGGAAGGCTCCTCCCACTCTCCACAGTGAGCACAGACTCCTGGAGGCTGCTTCCACTCTCCACAGTGCGCACCATCTCTGGGAGGCTCCTCTTGCTCTCCACAGTGTGTTACCATCTCTGGGAGGCTCCTCCCACTCTCTACAGTGCGCATCATCTCTGGGAGGCTCCTCCCACTCTCCACAGTGCGCATAGACTTCAGAAGGCTGCTTCCACTCTCCACAGTGCACACTGACTTCGGGAGGCCCTGCCCACTTTCTGCAGTGCATGGGGATTCAGGGAGGGTCCTCCCACTCTCCGCAGTGCACACTGCCTTAGGAAGGCCCTTACCGCTCTCTACAGGGCACAAGGACTCAGGCAGGCTTCTCCAACTTCCTGTAGTGAACACTGGCTCAATGAGGCTCCCCCTATTTCCTGAAGGGCACAATGGCTCAAGGAGGCTCCTGCCATTTCCTGAAGGGTATACTGGTGCAAGGAGGTTCCTCCTGCCTCCCGAAAGGTAAACTGGCTCAATGGGGACCCCTCTACTTCCTGAAGTAGACACTGGCTTAAAGATGCTCCTCCCACTGCTCGAAGAGCACACTGGCCTAAAGGCGCTTCTCCAACTGCCAAAAGTGCCCTCACGGGTGTGTACAGCTTGAGCTTCACCAGATGAAACCAGGGTTAGGCTGCTTTGACTCTCCTGAAAAGTCCATCTCCGAGGTCTTCGGTGTCCCTTCTTGGTTGGCAGGCAATGCAGGATTTGGCTCTTCTCGGTTGGCCGAGGCCTGTGACCCTTCAAAGCTTGGAACAAATATTCCAGGAGAAACTATGGGAGGAGGATGTGACCAGCCTGAAGACCCTGAGCATCTGAAAAAAAAAAAAAAGAAAGAGAGAAAGTCATTAGGAAAAAGTCCAGCCTGAGAGTCTGTCCTCAGATAGAAGAGGAACCAGATGGCTGTCTTAAGAGTTCACATTCACTTATTGCAGATCAAAATGTGACCACAGGGAAGAAGTTGACCAACACGTTTCGGGGCTGACAACCCCCCTTCATCAGGGCTCAAATGCGTATGCTTTCTACTAGGTTGGTATCTAAAAACTCCTGGGATGTGTTCAATAATGGTCGCCATAGACGCATGCGGAAGGAAGAATTTTCCCTTTAGCATAGAAGTCAATCATGACCACGATAGAACGTTCCCCGTGAGGCTCAGGAGGACAGTCCTACAGGAACCATGAGTACGGACTACGAGGAACCGTTCCCTCAAACACCAAGGATATTTTCATTTTTCTCCTTGATGAAGGGAAGCCGTGTTAGACATTTTAATTTCAAACCACATGAAAGTGGAATGTTGGCCCCCACATTGGTAATTTGCACTTGAACCCTGATAAGGGGGATTGTTGGACCCTGAAAACACATTGCGCGTAAAAAAGTGTGACTTTGCCCCAAAAAGAGTGGGTCATTCAATTTCAGTCCTTTCTGCCCTTGAAAACAAGTTGGCAATTTTAATTTCAGTCCTTATAAAAAGGGAGAGGGGGGATTGCTGCCCCCAGAAACGTGTTGGTAACATTCATTGCAAACCTTATAAAAAAGGGGAGGGGGATTGCTACCCCTGGAAACATGTCGGCAATTTTCATTTCAGTCCATATGAAGGGGGGGATGCTACCCCTGGAAAACGTGTTAGTAATTCTGCATTTCAGTCATTATGAAGCGGAGGGATTGCGGTCCCTGGAAATGTGTGTTAGTAATTTCCATTTCAGACCTTACAATGGGGGGGGATTGTCATCCCCCAAAACATGTTGGTAATTTCCATTTCAGACCTTCTGATGGGGGGGGGGGGGCGGGATTGTCGTCCTCCAAAACGTGTTGGTAATTTCCATTTCAGACCTTCTGATGGGGGGGAGGGGATTGTCGTCCCCCAAAACGTGTTGGTAATTTCCATTTCAGACCTTAAGATGGGGGGATTGTTGCCCTCAAAACATGTTGGTAATTTCCATTTCAGACCTTAAGATGGGGGGACTGTCGCCCCCCAAAACGCGTTGGTAATTTCCATTTCAGACCTTACAAGCGGAAGATTGTCGCCCCCCAAAACATGTTGGTAATTTTCATTTCAGACCTTATGTAGGGAAGGACTGCCACTCCTGGAAACGCGTTGGCAGTTTTCATTTCAGTCCTTATAAAAGGGGGGTGGATTGCTGACCCCGGAAACGTGTTGGTAACTTTCAATGCAAACTTTATAAAAGGGGGGAGGATTGCTGCCCCTGGAAACACATCAGCAATTTTCATTTCAGTCCTTATAAAAGGGGATTGTCGCCCATGGCAACATGTTGGTCTCGTTTATTTCAGTCCTATGAAGGAGGGATGGCCGCCCCAGGAAACATCAGAGTCGTTTTCATTTGAACCCTGATGAAGGGAGACTGTCAGCCCCGAAACATGTTGCTAATTTTTTTTTTTTCTTTTAACTGGAGTCCTGCAGAGCGGGGACTGTCGGCTTCGAAACATGTTGCCTATTTTCACTGGATGTGAATTGTTGGCATGGATGGTGGATTGTTGGCCTCTGAAAACGCGATGGCTGCCTTTTAGACATTTTGATCTGCAATAAATGGAGACGGACTCTTAGGATGACTATCTGGTGCGCCATTTCTCCATTTTGGTTGGATTTCTCAGTCTGGGAGGCCCCAGTGTTGTGGAGGAGCTGCTGAGGTCCAGTAGTCACCCAACCAGCAGCTTCTGTTCTGGGGGACAAAAAAATATCTAAGTGCAGCGCCTCACATCTGTCTGTTCAGGTACTGCAGGGGGCACTTACATTGTAGGCAGTGGGGGGACAGGCAGTTGTACACTCTGTGCCCGGGGGCTGCAACGGGTCCGAGTAGAAATATTCTCCATTGTGGACGAGGAATCCTGGAGGAGAAGGGGAGGATCAGAAGACAGCATGGACATGTGACTAACGTAGGTATATCTACGGGGGGGGGGGGGGGGGGAGATCTCCTTATTGTGGGAGGGGCAGAGACACAAACTACTGCAGAGAAATATCCCCATTGTGGGAGGGGCAGAGACACAAACTAATGCAGGGAAATCTCCCCATTGTGGGAGGGGCAGAGACACAAACTACTGCAGAGAAATATCCCCATTGTGGGAGGGGCAGAGACACAAACTAATGTAGGGAAATCTCCCCATTGTGGGAGGGGCAGAGACAACCTACTGGGGGAATCTCCCCATTGTGGAAGGGGCAGAGACACAAACTACTGCAGGAGAATCTCCCCATTGTGGGAGGGGCAGAGAGAAACTACTGGAGGGAAATCTCCCCATTGTGGGAGGAGCAGAGACACAAACTAGTGCTGGGAAATCTCCCCATTGTGGGAGGGGCAGAGACACAAACTAGTGCAGGGAAATCTCCCCATTGTGGGAGGGGCAGAGACACAAACTAGTGCTGGGAAATCTCCCCATTGTGGGACGGGCAGAGACACAAACTACTGCAGGAGAATCTCCCCATTGTGGGAGGGGCAGAGACAACCTACTGGGGAAATCTCCCCATTTTGGGAGGGGCAGAGACAACCTACAGGGGGAATCTCCCCGGCTCAGTACTTTACCTTGATCCCTCCGGAGCTGCATTTGGGGCGTCTCTGACTTGTGAAGTGCCGCCACGGCAGCGTAGTAAGCCTCAAAACTAGGGTGATAGAGAGTGCGGGGGTGATAGGACATGGGGTGACCCGCCGCCACAAAGTGCCCTGTACAGTGAAGGGGAAAGTTTACAGACATTGGTCACTGCTTATCCATGCAATCCTTTCAGTGATACACAAGAGGAGACAGACGGACTCACCTACCCGGTACTGCACAGGTGGGTACATGTCTGCCCCATGGTGTCGGCACTGCAGCATCTTCCACCGGCCTCCCCGACTCGTTGGACGGCCTGGGCAACAGAGTGCGGCCAATCAGCACACAGATGGAGGATGAGACAGGAAAAGGCGCAACGTTCCCACCCGCACACTGCAAGCCTCACCTGAAACTCTCGCGGCTTTGGGACTCCTCCTCGTCCTCCTCATCCTCGTCAGAGTTGGAATCGGACTCGGGCTGCTCAGAGAACATCTTCTGCTGTCAAGAGGCAACTTGCTACAATCTAAAAACGCTGCCACCCTGTGGCTGAAACACAAAGTGATGGCGCAGGTAAGAAAATTCTATTAGATGGAGCCAACAAAACACATTATTATTATACAGGATTTATATGTCGCCAACAGTCTGTGCAGCGCAGTACAATATAAAGGGGGACAATACAATTACAATACATTTCAGTACAGAAGGAATAGGAGGGCCCGGATCATGGAGCTTACAATCTAAAGGAAGGGGGAGGGGATACAAAAATGTTATAAATTGAGTTCCAGCTCAGTGGGTAAAATAAGTATTTGATCCCCCGAGTACAGCATGACTTAGTACTTGGTGGAGAAACCCTTCTTGGCCAGCACAGAGGTAAGACGTTCCTTGTAGTGGGTTCCCAGGTTTGCAGACATCTCAGGAGGGATTTTGGTCCACTCTTCTTTACAGATCTTCTCTAAATCTTTAAGGTTACTTGGTTGTCACTTGGCAACCAGAAGTTTCAGCTCCCTTCAAACATTTTCTATAGGATGAAGGTCTGGAGACTGGCTAGGCAACTCCATGACCTTAATGTGCTTCTTCTTGTTGAACCAATCCTTTGTTGCTTGGCGGTATGTTTTGGGTCATTGCCATGCTGGAACACCCATCCACGACCTATCTTCAGTGTTCTGGTTGAGGGAAGAAGGTTCTAATCCAAGATTTTTTACAATACATGGCCCCCTTAATATGGCAAGGTTGGTCTGTACCTTTAGCAGAGAAACAGCCCCAAAGCATAAGGTTTCCACCTTCGTGCTTGACTGTAGGGATGGTGTTCTTGGGGTCATAGTCAGTATTTTTCTTCCTCCAAACACAGCGATCAAGTTAAAGCCAAACAGCTCAATTTTGGTCTCATCTGACCACAGCACTCTCTCCCAATCCTTCTCTGAATCATTAGATATTCATTGGCAAACTTCAGACGGGCTGGACATGGGCCTTCTTGAGGAGGGGGACCTTACGGGTGATGCAGGATTTCACTCCTTGGTGGCGTATTGTGTTACTAATGGCTTGTTTGGTGACTGGCCACAACTGCCTTGAGATCATTCACAAGCTCCTCCCGTATAGTTCTGGGATGATTCCACACTTTTCTCACAATCATCCTTACCCCACGAGGTGAAATCTTGCATGGAGCTCCAGACCGAGGGCGATGGATGGATATTTTGTATTTCTTCCATTTGTGAATAATCGCTCCAACAGTTCTTTCCTTCTCACCAAGATTCTTGCTGATGGTCTTGTAGCCCATTCCAGCCTTGTGCAGGTCTACAATCTTGTCCCTGATGTCCTTAGACAGCTCTTTGGTCTGGCCCACGGTGGTGAGGTGGAAGAAAGATTCTGTGGACAGTTGTCTTTTATATACATAACGAGTTTTCGTCAGGAGCTCCTTCCAAAAAATTGGCAGAACCAATCGGTGTACTCCATTAGCACAGAGCCAGAATCATTGTTGGTTGGTAGGGGATCAAATATTTAATTTACTCACTGAACTGCAACTGAATTTATAACATTTGTATCGTGGTTTTTTTTTCTGGATTTTTGGTTGATATTGTGTCTCTATCATTTAAAATACACCTATGATAAAAATTATAGGCACTTCATTTCTGTGTAAGTGGGCAAACTGACAAAATCTGCAGGGGATAAAAGAATAAAAATAAATGATATATACGGTGTATATATATATATATATATATATATATATATATATATATATATATATATATATATATATATATATATATATATATATATATAAAAAAAAATAATGTAAAAAAAAAAAAGAAAATTAAAAAAAAAAAAATTACATATACACACACACACACACACACACACACACCACATTATATATATATAATTTTTTTTTTTAATTTTTCTTTTTTTTTTTACATTATTTTTATATATATATATATACATACAGTTGCAAGAAAAAGTATGTGAACCCCTTGGGATTACATGGAGTTTAGCATGAATTGGGCATAAAATGTGCTCTGAATGTCATCTAAGTCACAACAATAGAAGAACACAGTCTGCTGAACATAATACTACACAAACATTAGATGTTGCCATGGTTTAATTGCACATAACATGTAAACATTCACAGTGCAGGGAGGAAAAAGTATGTGAAGCCCTAGCTTAATGACTTCCCCCAGAGCTAATTGGAGCCAGGAGTGAGCCAACCTTGACTCCAATCAGTGTGATGATATTGGATGTGTTGCTGACAGCTGTCCTGCCCTTAAAAAACACACACCTGTTTTGGGTTTACTGGTTTCAAGAAGCACTGTCTGATGTGGACCATGCCTCGCAGAAAAGAGCTCTCAGAAGACCTACGATCAAGAATTGTTGACTTGCATGAAGCTGGAAAGGGTTACAAAAGTATCTCCAAAAGCCTTGATGTTCATGTGTCCATGGTAAGACAGACTGTCTACAAATGGAGAAAGTTTAGCACTGTTGCTACTCTCCCTAGGCGTGGTCGGCCTGTAAAAATGACTGCAAGAGCACAGCGCAGAATGCTGCATGAGGTAAAGAAGAATCCCAGAGTGTCAGCTAAAGACCTACAGAAATCTCTGGCACATGCTAACATTTTTGTTGACACATCTACAATAAGGAAAACATTAAACAAGAATGGAGTACATGGGAGGACACCACGGAGGAAGCCATTGCTGTCCAAAAAAGAATATTGCAGCACGTTTGAAGTTTCCAAAAGAGCACCTGGATGTTCCACAGCACTACTGGAAAAATATACTGTGGACAGATGAAACCAAGATTGAGTTGTTTGGGAAGAACACACAACACTATGTGTGGAGAAAAAAAGGCACAGCACACCAACATCAAAACCTCATCCCCACTGTGAAACATGGCGGAGGGAGCATCATGGTTTGGGGCTGCTTTGCTGCCTCAGGGCCTGGACGGATTGTTTGTCATTGATGGGAAAATGAATTCCAGAGTTTATCAAGACATTTTGCAGGAAAACATACGACCATCTGTCTGCCAACTGAAGCTCCGCAGAGGATGGGTGATGCAACAGGACAATGACCCAAAGCATACAAGTAATTCAACGAAACAATGGCTGCAAGAGCACAGAATACGCCTTCTGGAGTGGCCCAGTCAGAGTCCTGACCTCAACCCCATTGAAATGCTGTGGCATGACCTTAAGAGAGCGATTCACACCAGACATCCCAAGAATATTGCTACACTGAAACAGTTTTGTGAAGACGAGTGGTCCAAAATGACTCCAGATCGTTGTGCAGGTCTGATCTGCAACTACAGGAAACGTTTGGTTGAGGTTATTGCTGCCAAAGGAGGGTCAACCAGTTATTAAGTCCAAAGGTTCACATACTTTTTCCTCCCTGCACTGTGAATGTTTACATGTTATGTGCAATTAAACCATGGCAACATCTAATGTTTGTGTAGTATTATGTTTAGCAGACTGTGTTCTTCTATTATTGTGACTTAGATGACGTTCAGAGCACATTTTATGCCCAATTCATGCAAAACTCCACGTAATCCAAAGGGGTTCACATACTTTTTTCTTGCAACTGTATATATATATATATATATAAAAATATAGTAAAAAAAAATTATAATATTATATATATATATATATATATATATATATATATATATATATATAGTGTGTGTGTGTAAAAAAATGTGACAATTAAAAAAAAAAAAAGTTAAAAATTTTTATATATATATATAGTATATATATATATATATATATATATATATATATATATATAAAAATTTGAATAAAAAAAAAAAAAAATTATATATATATATATATATATATATATATATATATACTGTATATATATATATATATATATATATATATATATATATATATATATATATATATATATATAATAGTGTGTGTGTGTAAAAAAATATGAGAATTAGAAAAAAATTTAAATTTATATATATATATATATATATATATTATATATATATATATAAAAATTTTTATTTCTCTTTTTTTTACATTATTATGTATACACACGTACACACACACGTACACTTCTGCCTGGCAGTAATTGGGTCATGGGTTCGATTCCCAACCATGGCGCCTCCTGCATGGAGTTTGCATGTTCTCCCTGTGTTTGCTTGGGTTTCCTCTGGGTGCTCCGGTTTCCTCCCACACTCCAAGGACATGCTGGTAGGTTAATTGGCTCCTGTCTAAATTGTCCTAGTTTCATCCCTGGCCATGCGGGATCTCCTGCATGGTAGGGGTTGGGGAAAGACCTGACATCCTACCCTGT